AGAGAGAGAGAGAGAGAGAGAGAGAGAGAGAGGGATCAGCATAATAGAGAGAGATTCATGAGAGGCAGGTCCTTGAGAGGCAGCTTGAAGAACCTTCTAAGTTGTGTGAGAAACTTTCATGAGAAACTTTCTGGCCCGATGAGTGAGAAAACACAAATGAAATAAACAGAGGTAGTAGCTCTTTTAATTTCGTTCATGGTTTGGGGCCTTTTTTGTGAATGCAGATTGATCTGAACCGTGCATCCACACAAAACCTATTAGTAACAAATTTTGTTTTTGTTTTTGCTAACTGCTCAGTTTGTGGTGGCATCCAAACATGTCCTAAGAGACAAGACAAGAAGTGTGTGTTAGTAAGGATGTGATGTCCAATCCCTATGTCACTTAGGGTTGGACGTCCAGCTCAATTATGTGAGGTGTTACAAGCGAATTAGTGTTGGTTAGATTACAAGACTACCCTTGTATATAATAAATATCATGAAGACTGCTCTCCAACATAATGAAGATTACGAAAATTACATCCTTGTCCTCAAACAGTTATCCCTAGCATAGCTGGGCCTTCGATGTACCTTGTCCTTACTCCATTGGCATTTTTTGGACAAGGACACTCTCTATCATTCCAATGTATCCAATATCCAGTTTTAAACAAACCAATTTTCTTTCACATGGTCTTAATCACCTCAATCCATGATTCAATTATTAATACATATATCTTCCAGTTGCACAACCCTATCTTGCTGATCCCATGTAGAATTCTAGAAACATATGGTTCCTTCAAGTTTATAATGCCAATTCAGTTTGGAGACTGTTTGGGCTGGGGACCACAGCTCCTCTGATTCCTTAGTTCTTCACATGGGTTTTGAAACCAAAGCTCATACTTGGAAGTTTCTTAGGAATTTCTGGTTAGTTTATGTGGAGATGAATTCAGTGAAGAAAGGCAGTAAAATAGGTCGTAGTAAAGGTCAACAAGCGCAACAGGAAAGCTATGTTGGCATCAGAGAAAATATTTCTACCAAAAAAACTATACGTGGATAGAAACCTGCTTTGTCAAGATGATAAAGAGCTCCATTGCTGCGCAATGATCAGTTGGTTGTCTTGTCAGAGCTGTGTATGCTGTAATTCTAGAGAATGTGATGTTGACTTTGCATATTTTTTGATGTAATAAGTCCTTCATTTCTGTTTGTTTTATCTCTGACTTTGTTGCTTTACATAGATTTGTTAGTAACTGAATATATCATCTGTTGGTCCAGTTAAGAGTTTCTTTTCTTGCATATAAACTGTTTGTTTTATTTTTTTCTCATCATCATCATCAGAGCCTTTTCCCAACTAATTGAGGTCAGCTACATGAACCCTCATCCACCATTCTGCTCGATCAAGGGCCATAAGTCCGCATCTCTTTTTTATTATTTGTTTCTAGCTTTATATAATTACTATTATTTTTTTATGGCCCCATTACTATGTTGTATTATTTGTTTTGGATCGTGTTCTACGAAGTAACTTGCACATATTGACATATGAAGGGGATGTCTCTTTTGCAGGCATTCAATATCCTGCGCTATGAAATTGGACAGAGGTATCATTCACATTTTGATGCGTTCAATCCAGCTGAATATGGTCCACAAAAGAGCCAAAGGGTACATACTGAAAAATGGTTTGATTCTCAATTTTATCACATTTATTCATTAGCATTTTCGAATATATTCCTGCGACATGGTTGTCATTTACTTGGTCCATTCACCACGTAAATAAACTGTCCATTCATACTCGAGCGCTAGTACAATGTTAGCATATTTGGAGAACATACAACTGTCATTGCGTACTGTATGCTCTGCTTTTTTCTATTTTCTCTTGACTCAACCTACTTTGTTTGTTGCTGAATTCTTCCATAGTGAACGCTGCTCGAGTTAAACTCGGTTAAAATATTGATGCATATCTTTCATCTCTACTTAATGGGGCTATTGTGATGACAATTCAGATAACCATCATGCTATTGATTAAGAAATTTTGTGATTGTGGTACATTCTAGCTTTTTTCTTTTCTTTTGTTCGTGGGTTTGTTGTTATTTTTATCTACTGAAATGAAATGGTAAGTTAAATAAATCAAAGAAAAGAAGATCCACATTTGCAATTATGAAGTTAAATTTCTTGAGCGTGGAGAGTAGTTCAAAGCCTAATTCTTCTAGAGTGAGCTTTTTGTGACCCAGTGTGTCTGGGCTTGTTCTATATGGTTTTTCCTTTTTCTTATGTAAGGGTTTTCGTCTTTGACCTAGCCCATTTTTTGTAAAAACTACCATCATTAGTTAGTCTATTTTTTTGGGAAGAGGCCTGCCCTGTGGGTTTTCTCTTTCCACTATGTACTTACTCTTTATACATAAGACAGTTAACAATTTAAAAGAAAAACTTATAACTGGGGTAATACTTAAGCTACACCTTGTAACTTGGTCTTTCACAGTGTTAGAGAGGTTGTGGGCTGGTTGATCCTGCATGATGGATGTATCATTAAGCTGTTAAGATACCTAATTATTATTGTCTTTGCAGAATAAAATAATTTGGCCCAATGTTTTCTAACTCAATGCAGGCCAAGTAATTGGCCTGGCCCCGAGACGAGTAGTACACCTCAAAAAAGCTAAAAAAGGAAAATAAACAAAAGTAAAAACAAAGAAGAAAAAGCACTATGTGCCTGGTAGAAAGTGAGGCCATTGAGTACATGACCAGAGGAGAGATAGGTTGGGGCTAAAATTTGGCAACGACTCTCTTTCCCTTGGGTTTTGAAGAGGTGGCTCTTTCAAGGTGAAGGGAGCTGTTGAGGCCTCGAAAGAGAAAAGCTACAGGCGACAGCAGAAGCTTTGGATGTGCAGGTGAGCATGAGCATGACAGTGAAGATGAGGGCCGGAAAGGCCTTAAGTGGGCAAGTGAAACTATGAGTTGCAGAGGAGAGCAGCGGACTGGTCATTGGGGTCCGGATCTACCACAAGTTTTGAGATAGAGAGAGAAGTAGAACAAATGGGTCCTGTTATGGACTGAAGAGACTAGCATGAGCCAGAAAATGGGAGGGAGCGATCGATGCAGGGAGAGAAGGGAGCGCCCCAGAATTTGATGAGAGAGAGGAGTTGAAAGGCTTGTGCTAGGTGGTGTGTGTGTGTGTGTGTGTGTGTGGTGAGAGAGAGAGAGAGAGAGAGAGAGAGAGTAGTAAGTAAGTATTGTACGTAGTATCTTACTTATTACTTCTTGTTTGAGAGAGAGAGAGAGAGAGGGGTCGTGCCCTGTTCTTAGAGAGGGAGAAAGGCGGTGCTCTTTCTCTAACTCAGGTGAGTACTGTACAGACTTACCCAAGTACTGTGGAACTCGGGTGAGTCCACACAGTACTCATCTGAGCACTTTACCCTCTATGATCTCTAGGGAGGGGTATCATGTTACATGTAACTCAGCTGAGTCCAAGTCGGCTTGGCTGAGTCTTTGAACACTGATTTGGACTTTTCATAAAAAGTAATTTGGAAACTTTAGGTTATACAAAAATGGAGGAACAGTAATCACATTTATTTGTTCTTCTGCGCTAACCTTGGGTGAATATTCGTGATCACTAGGTTTGTTGGATATGTTCTATATAGTAAGAAAGAAAAACCTGCAGAGTTGATAGATTTTGGGATTTTTACATTCTTCTCCGCAATACTTTTATATATTATTGGTAAAAAAAAAAAGGGCGAAGAAAAGCATAACTTAGGTCACATTTCGATGGCAGAACAACTCCAAGAAGTTAACAAGATATTTAAAACAATCTATTCCTTTTTAGAGCTCTGGGTGTGGCAGCGTTTCCATAATACACATTGTTAAGAAATTCCATCACCCATTAATGGTCAATTGGACCAAGCTGGGCCATTTTTCACTCATAAATGAATGGAGGAAAAAATTGGTCTTCTTCCCAAAATGTTCTCCTTACGAAAGGGCCCTTTTTAATGTATTAATGTTGTTTCTTGTACCATATGAAGAATAGAAGGCTGTGTTATATGATTCTTCCTTTCTCTCTGCATTTGAAAGATAATACTCAGTGTGTTCATGGCAATGTGCAGTTTGGAACCTAGATGCACCTCATTGAAACTAGAAAGAGCTGACTGTCTCCTTTGTAAAGATAAAAGTCAAAATTGTATAAATAACTTTGAATAGATTTATGTAAGATGCATATCTCAGCATAATCTATTGAAAGCTCAACCTCCTGGGAGTTGTCTTGTTACTAGTATTTGATAGCACCTGCAAATTACATATCTTGTTTTACATCTCATATGTTAAATTGACATCTGTCAAACTAATATCATGGTTACTCCCTATTGTGTAGGTAGCTTCATTTTTATTGTATCTATCTGATGTTGAAGGAGGAGGAGAGACTATGTTCCCCTTCGAGGTAATGCAGCTGATTTTGTATTCTTAGTGTTTGAGTTGTTCCATTCCTTCCTTTCTGTTATATATTATTCACTTCTCTTATTCTTTATCATGTTGAGCTTCTCGTATTTATTGCACATAATCTCTTTTTGATAATGTAGAATGGTCTAAACGTTCATTCTGAATATGATTATAAGAAGTGTGTCGGATTGAAAGTGAAGCCCCAGCTAGGGGATGGTCTTCTTTTCTATTCAGTCTATCCCAATGGTACTATTGATCAGGTAAGTTTATTTCGCTTTTGTCTTTCCGTATTAGATGAGCAATTTTATGTTACCAACTGCATTTTTACTTATTGATGTGCACGAACAATTTATTTACTAAGATAAGCGTTAACTCTGAAGTTTTGATTTAGATGCAATGGAGCTGCAAAAACAATATCTGCTTAAGCCAAAGACCAGATGTTCTTAAGATATCTATAGTAACCAATTAGCTGATTGGTTTTCCATTTATGTGGTCAGATATCTGATATTTTGTCCCTGCAATTATGAAATGGTTTGTAAAACGTATGACCATGATTTCTCAATGTTTATTTGCTGAAGTTCTCATGTTATAACTTACTACAGAACGGCAATAATATAAATCAATTATCTTCTAATAGAATACAGAGCAGACTTATGGTAATGTTCTTTTACTTTTTATTTTTTTCGTTTTTGGGGTGGGGTAGTAGTTCAGCATGGTAGGGGTCCCCTACTTGTAGTAGGAACGGAACTAAAAGCGTCATTTTGAGCATGCGGACCACCTAGCATTGAGAATACTATTTGCAAGATACAAATGCTATGAATATTGCATTTTATGGGATGTTAATGGTGATAAAATGAGATTGTAGAATGTCAAGCTCAACTAAGTCAAATATCAGAATAAATAGGGTGCTTACCTCTATGCTAGGTGATAGTCCAATGATCCAAGGCCTTAATGTCAAAACACTTCGATCCGGTGCCATATTAGACCACATGAATACTCTGGAAATTGATGCTTGAAGGTAAAATGTCATCTCCATAGACTAAGAGATTAATTTGTTTCTAACAATAACAGAGAATGGAAAAAAGAATGGATTTTCTTCTTTTCTCATAAACATAGAAGTCCACATGTCTTTTGTTCAGAAAAAATGTCAACTATGCAATGGAAGATAAGCCACTAACTAATCTTAGTTTACAGGACCCTAAAATACGTTTGGAGAATACTTAAATTCATATAAGATTAAATATCTACAGCTTCAGCAAGTAATCATCCACAAAGCTAAATTAACAAACTTGTGTAAATTTTGAAGTAACTAAAGAGTGTTCATAGCTAGTTCTAGGGTTTGAAGTTCCTATGGTACGAATTTTCGGGTTTGGACTTTAGAGAAGACATTTGAATTAAGGGTTTGTTGCAAATTTATTTGTCAATTCTGAGGACCTATGGGTTATTTTTGTAGGGTTTTGGTGGATTCTTTGATTGGGGGTATACTCTTTTTTGGAGGGTTATAATAAAGCAAAAACTACAAAGAAGATAGAAAATAGGAAAAATAAGGGAGAAAAGAAAATTAAGAAAGGAGTTGAATGCTAAAGAATTCAAGAAAAATGGAAGAAGGAAAAGATAGGAAATGACAAATGAAGATAGGGGACGAATGGAAAAAAGGAAAAAGAAAGAGATGACAAAAAATTTTTAGAGAAAGGGAAGAGAAGAAGGATACGAAGGAAGTAGACAAAATAATACAAGGAAAAAAACGAAAAGAAAATAAAGCAACAAAGTAGAGGAGAAAGTGAAAGGAGTGGCTATGTGGAACTCAAGGTATTAAATTCAAAAATATTTCTTTTACATTTATTCCATATACCTGAATTCTACTTACATGGGCCATTATATATTGCTGTAAATTAAAATAATACCCTAAATACAACATTGGATCTTTATTTTCACTTCCAAAAGAAATAGAAGCTGTCCAAGAGCTTTAAACAAACCTCCACTATAATTTTCAGTACAAAACGAGTTCTTGAAAATTCACAGAAAATAAGAAATAATACTGTAAAGTAATTAGAACTACTGGTAGGACTTACTGGATGATGCCTTATCGATGGTGCACTTTTACTCCTTTAGGTGTTCTTAGAAATTTTGAGATGAGAAGTTTTTCAAGCGATACTTCTTTTTATAGTTTTAGAGAGCTCAAAATAACAACTAGGGTTTATAGAAACCTTTTGTGAACAAATTAGGGCTAAGTTTGTGAGTTGATCTCTCTTTAGGCTAGATTTCTCCCTTCTTTCTTCAAAATACAGCACGCCTTTCTTAGCGTTTGAAAGTCCCACCTTTATCTTTGATAGAAGTTACTTAAAAAGGGGAGAGAGGGTGGCATGACTCTCTCTAAGGCAAATGAGAGGGTCACGTGGTTTTCAATTTGAAGAGAGAAGTGGTGTGATAAAGTGAGAGAGAAAAGTGGCATGGAAGAGAATAGGTGAGAGGGTGGTATGAGAGAGAGATATCTTTTTGTAATGAGAGATGGGGTTCAAATCTTGTTTAAATAGAAACAAGATCTATTACCTATTTTGAATAGATTTTCAATCGAAGTATGCCTTATCCAATTTCAAGCTATATCTCTAGGATAATTTGAAAATCTGTGGGGTGAGAGATTTAATCAGAGCCATCCATCCCACAAATCAACCATCATGATTTTGAGTGGAAAGATAACAACCTTATATTTTTAGATTTTGACCTAAGTCCAACTCCTATTTAAAATTAAAATATAATCAATCTTATCATAATCTAGACCTCCCATATTTAAGGATAATCTACATTTTAAAAAAAACTCGCATAGGATAAGGAAACTAAATCTTATTTGAAAAGATTTCCTATCTTTAACTAATTTAAATATTCAACAACTACAAAAAGGTGGGGCCCCATTTCCTAAATAAGTGGCGCGCCCCTTATTCCTTTAAAGGTGGTGTGCCATTTTTGTTTAAAAATATAGGGCATGGCCCACTAGGGGCACGTGGGCCCCACACATAAAAAAGAGATACACACACATGTGGGAATGGATCCTTGGTCCCATGTGTTATTTTAAGTCCTAAAAATTTGAGAAATACCCTTTTAATGAAAATTACAACATAATTAATATTTTAAATTTCTGAAAAGATATTTCAAAATTATAAAAACATTTATAGTACCAAAATAAAATATACTAAGAGTAGATTAGTACAAATGGGTCAAAATTGGAGACAATAAGGGCACTCCACTCGCCCCCAGAAACTATGATCTACTGTTTTTTTATCGTTTCCAACAAAGACCCATGACCCACAGTCTCATTTCAGGGGATCATAATTGGCTTATCAAAGTTGGACAATAAATAATAGAACTATGATCTTGGAAAGTGGATTTCAGTCTCCCCCCTTTAAGAGCAAGTCTAGCATCTGTCACCACAGTGTAAAGGGGGTTCTCTCAGCACATGGACATGTGTTGCTCTATAGGGCTACTTCTTAGTAATGTGACTGTCATGTGTACATGTCCAGTGGAAGTTTGTTGAGGCGTTGGTCTTTGCTCTCACAAGCCCACAACCGCTAACAAGAGGCCACCCAATTCTCGTGGCTTACAAACGTCATCCCTTGGCATCTCTTTGACCTCAACAAGGGATGACCCACTGCAAACCCTTCTCGGTAGTTCCACATGCCTAGGGATTAGATATGACTAGGGCCATAAACTGCCCAATCCTTGGTCAGACAACACACATTCGTACTGAAGTGCATATTCTACTACAAAATATCATCTTTATAAGCTGTTTAGGCCTTTAAAGGCCACAAAACCCAACATCTCCCACTTGGGCTTTGAAGGCCGTACAATCACTCCCTATCAATTTCTCTCAAGGCCACCCCATGTGCATGTTAGGTAGCAACATTTGCTACCAATCCTTTTGTAAAAGGATCTGTTAGCATAGCCCATATCGGGAGATATGTAATCTGAATCTCTCTTGCTTGGATCTCGTTGTGAATGTGGTAGTAACACGACTTTATATGCCTCGATTTCTTGTGAAACCTCGGCTCTTTTGTCACATAAATAGCTGCCTGGTTGTCGCAGAAGATTCTAAAACCCAAGCACTTCACTGGATCAAATTTGAGTTGATTCAAGAACTTCTTCCACCATACTTCTTCTTTAGCCGCGAGACAACAAGACAAATACGTTGACTCCATAGTCGTGAGTGCAACAATATCCTGTTTCTTTGAGCGCCAAGAAACAACTCCCCCTACAAGCATGAAGATATCTCTGAATGTGGACTTCATCTCATCTGGACCGCTCTGATAGTTTTCATCTGAATATTCTTATATTTGTATGTGCCGGCCTTCTCCATAATTGCGTGTGTAATTAACGGTTCCCTTCAAATATCGCAGTACTCTTTTGATGGCCTTTCTGTGCTCCATGCCTCAATTACTCTGCACCTGCTAATAAAACTCCTAGGCCATGCTGGGATAGGAGGAGTATTCCAAGACCACCAACACAAAGTTCTCTTCACCTACTCAGAATACATAGGTGTGCAAGATTCACAGCATGCTGAATCTCTTGCACTCCTCAAAGGCCTGCAAAGTTTCGAAAGTTCTTGGGGGCAACATCTTATAGTGGAGGGCGATGCTCAAGACATCATTACTTGGGCCTTCAGGCAAGCTTCGCCCCCCTGACCTTTTGCCTTTGTATGACAAGATTGAACATATTTGCTGGGGTACGCCTGTCTCATGGATTCATATATCGAGGACGTCAAACGCCTTCTTGGACCTCCTGGCGAAGGATGGAGCCAAAGCTTATGAGGAAGGCTAGCCTTGGCGTGCTACTTTTTTGCATATTGCAAGTCAACTATTGCACAGCATTTTTTTGTTCTTTTCTGTAAAGTGATTGTGGAATCTGTAAAGGGACCTTTATAATCCCATTTTGTATATTTGTAAGGGGGCAGTTTTAGAACCCCATTTTGTATAAGGCTGGAGGGCCTATTCTTTTTTATAGAGAGTCCCATCTACCAGGGGACTCTCTTTAACTCTGCATTGTAATCCCATTTCCTTCAGTAATATAATTGTTAACACTTTCAAAAAAAAAAAAAAACTCCTGGAAAAAAACAGATGCAGTCTTGTTCCTAACATAGCATACATTAGTGACCCAACTGCACTTCTATATGAAATTCTCTGCATGGCTTCCTTTTTTTGTGGAGTAGTGGGACACATGATTAGGCTAAGCTTGGGCTTCTTATCAATGGGCGTTAATATAGGCTGGCAAT